CGAAACACACAGCTCTTCACGACATGGTGGCGGCAACAGTAATAAAAGAGAGAATAAAAGTTACGCCTTCTTTCTTTGCGTTAACATTGGGCGGCGTTATGCAAATCTTCCCACATAGTGACGTAGATATGTGGGGGCGTGTTAGAACAAGCCGTTTTAGGAGGGCGTGGTTAACTCCTAACTTTCATAAAGAATATCTCTTTGGATTTGAGACTTTAGTCTTTGCAACTTTACAGATCTTCTTTATGCACCAAGAGCTTGTAACACTCCAAAGAGAAAGGAAAAATTGAAATCGCATCATATGACCCCTTTAAGTAAAGTATTTATATATATTCTGTGATAATAACAGTAATAACCGGCTGGATGTACATTATCCTACTTATTACATGGCTGCAAATAATTAGACACGAAATACTGATTTGAGTTGAACTATTTTATTAGCTCTTTAAACGCAAAGCTTCCACAAAGAAAAACAGTTCTTAACAAAAGGCTAGAAGTTCAGACAAGATGGATATTTAAGGCATAATGTACAGTCGTATTACTAATTACACAGCTTTTATTTAAGAAAGCATTTTAAGATCTTACCTGTTTGTTATCTTAAATCCATTACAGTGTACAAAACAATTGTTCTACCAACAACACAAACACTTTTCGTCAATTAGCAACACTTTTAGCAAATAGACAAACACTTTTAACAATACTACTGCAAGCCTACTATTAACAGTGAAGTCCTCCAGTTTTATTTAGCAGTAAATACAGTCAGTAACTGAGGCACAAGATGATGACAGTTATGTTTGAAAGAAAAGAGAGAGAGCGCAGCGGTGTGATATGAGAGACGTGAAAGAAGCGCCAGCCTAAAATACCTGTATTGACTGTGTGTTGCCGTGTCCCAATTCTCATACTATCCGTCCTAAATAGTATTAGAAATTAGAATTAGTATGTCCCAAAACGTAGTATGTTGAAATGAGTATGCCAAAGATTCCCGGATGGTCTTACTACTTCTGGTTAGAATTCAAAGTGCAGGTCGATGACCCATTGCGCATTGGAAGAGGATTCGATTAGAACTACAAACATGCAACAACAAAAAAAATAATGTAAAAAAAAAAACTACAAACATGGCTGATATCGCGAGACCAACGAACAGGTAGAGAAAGGGGTTTGAGTGATGATCAGTGTCTAACCTGATGAAATTTTTTCTTTTTTAATGTTATCCGCGTTATATTTCATCTGCAGCAACATTGTGAACTTTTATAAAGATACGCTTGGTCACTTTTAAATGCATCATTATGCAAACATATGAGCAGAGTTCTCGGCATTAAAAACCCACGGCTGGCAGATAAACGTGCCTCTTTTAATTAATCCTCTTCTAATTAAATGAAATGTGGATAATGTTAACTTTGACAAGATGATTGACAGTGCAGTTTAAACGGTGACAGAATGCACGTAACTAAGCAACAGAGTGTCTGTTAAAGACACGGACGAAGTAGTTTGTCCCAAAGCTTGCCTACTATTTTGCTTCATACCAAAAGTTTGAACTTTTTCTTCACAAAAAGAGTACATACTTTTAGGGCATAGTATAAGTAGGTGAATTGGGATGCAGCATGTTGTTCTACGTTGCTAATGACGTCGTTTGTTATTGGGGAATAACATACATTGGAATGTTACAACTGACCAATCAGAATAGAGTATTCCAAGGAGCTGTGTAATAATACACATTATCACACATTCTAAAGTACTTAGTAGAATAGCATATTGGGTGAATTCAGGTAAATTGGCACACTTTTTGCTGGGGAAATGGACCAATTATCCTGAATGAACCCTAACATTAAATTCTCTATAACTGCACAGCTCTAAGAGGGAATTTGCTCAATTTAGGTGGTTAGCTCACAAAGAAATTGCCAATTATGTCATCAACATCACCCTCATGTCACTTACTTTCTTCTGTGGAACACATAATATGTATATTGTCATTCAAAAGTTTGGAGTCAGTAAAATGTTTTAATTATTTTTTATTATTACACTTTAAAATAACTGTTTTCTATCTGAATATGTTTTAATCAATGTTGAAAGTCTTTGTTGAATATAAAGTTCAAAAGAACAGCATTTATTTGAAATATAAATATTTTGTAACATTATAAATATCTTTTCTATCACTTTTGATCAATTTAATGTATTCTTGTTAAATAAAAGTATTAATTTCTTTTTATAAAATTGCTACTGAGTCCAAACTTTTGAATGTTAGTGTATGTCGAAAAAATACATGAAATTCCAAGATTTGACTTCTTTTATATTATGGTTATGAATAAATAGACTGAATGCACTTCCTCTTGTCTTTAACAGGAACGGGAAAACTGGGCTTCTCTTTTGTGAGGATCACGGCTCTAATGGTTTCCTGTAACCGGCTGTGGGTGGGAACAGGAAATGGTGTCATCATCTCCATCCCTTTATCAGACTGTAAGCCAATATCACACACATACAGTAAACACGGTGTTCATCAGTATTTGATGTAGAAGGCAACATTAGTTTCAATCTCTTGGGCCACTTCTGTTTTTCTTTTCCTGTCTTCCTTATTCTCGCCTCCTGTCTCTGTAGCTGTAGGTCAGTGTGGATGTCTAGGTCATGCCTTGCCTTGCTTGTTTGCTGCATCATGCTCAGCTTTGTTCAATATTTCATCTGCAAGTTCTCAGTTCCTCTCAGATCTTCCTCTCTCTCAACTTTTTTCCCATCTTTCTGGGCTGATCAGCAGTGAATCTGCGTCTATCCAAAATTGGCTTTTAACACTTTAATATTAATGACTGTATCCCAGAAATTAGATTTTTTGCTCTGCAAGATCCGAACTATGCCGGTGGTGCTGTATTAAACGCTTTAGACACTTGTGGTTAAACATCTTTTTCTTTCCCCAGCAGCTCATAAGACTGTAGGAGCGATCGCCTGTCGTCCAGGTGGGGTGGTGCGAGTGTATGATGACACTGTGGATTGTGTGGTGACGGGCTCGTACGTACCGTACTGCTCCATGGCACACGCTCAGCTCTGCTTCCACGGCCACAGAGACGCTGTTAAATTCTTTGCTACAGTTCCAGGTAATACATAGTACCACAGTGCCTCAATATTGATTATAGAGACTCAAGCCTCATGATCGATGAAGTCAACTCCATGGAAGGTCCGCTTTAGTATATTGCATGATTTTGTAAGTTGCATTATGGGATCAGGAGCAGGGTGACATTAAAGGTCCTTGCACACTGAGTCCGAAATTTTCATATGTTTTTTTTTTTCATATTTGTCATCCTAAAAATTCGTCGCACACTGAATCCGATGCGTATTAATTAATCCGTTGCGAAAAAATGCGCAAAACAATACAAAATGGAGTCTTCAAGCAGAGGATGATTTTGTTGTCCTCTCTCTTCTTAAAAAGAGAAAAAGAGGAAATGTTGGATCAATCATCCAATCTAAGGAGCGTTCCAACTCCTTATGAAGGAACTGCGGGATTATACCGGGCGATTCAAAGTTTTCTTCAGGATGTCAGTGGCTCTGTTTGATGCTTTGCTAGCGATACTGGAGCCACATATTAAAAAGAAGACCACCAATTTTCGTGAACTCAGTGTGCAAGGACCTATATAGTGCTTTGTGCTGCGAGAAGAAGCAGATCAACTTGTCGGAAGCCTCTCAACCTCTCAAAATGCTTGCTACGGATGCAAAAAATCGAACCCGATCCAAATTTTTTTATGACGGACGAACGTTTCGGAGGCAGTGTGTAAACGTGATTGACAGAACGTGAGATAGAGAAAAATGAGTGTGCGAAAAAAAAAACTTTTTTTTGCAGAAATATATGAAAGAATCTCTTCTGGTAAAACACCATTTGTTGGCCCTGTCCTTGGTACCGTGATGGTGAGCGTCTTGAATTGCAAGAATGAGGTGCAGTCTCTTTTGATGAATATTACTGAGATTTGTTTCCTAACAAACAAAAATGAAGAAAAGAAGGCATTGTCACACAAAAGCTTGTCCTTACTCCATCATTGTCAATGACTGTTGCACTGTTATCAGCACCGCCTTCTGGAGTTGCAGATTTATAACCAAATTTCCCTCATTACCTTTAGGACACTAAGAAAACATAAAGCTAAGCAAAAACACTTTGATAATAATAATAATAATAAAAATGTTAGAGGGGTCATATGATGCAATTTCAAATTTTCCTTTCTCTTTGGAGTGTTACAAGCTGTTCGTGCATAGATAAGATCCCTAAAGTTGCAAAGACTAAAGTCTTAAACCCAAAGAGATATTCTTTATAAAAGTTAAGACTTGTCCACGCCCTCCTGAAACGCCTCGTTTAAACATGCCCCCACATGTCTACGTCACTGTGTGGGAAGATTTGCCGCCCAAATGTTCACGCAAAGAAAGAAGGTTCCTTTTCAGACCGATGAGCTTTGTAAAAATCAACGCGTTTCAGAAAGGCGGGGGCATAGAGGAGAAACAATAATGTACATTATGTGGAAATTATTATTATTTTTTTTACCTTAAACCGCATAAACACATTGCATTACACCAAATACACAAAATAATGTTCTTTTTAGCAACATCATATGACCCCTTTTTAAATAAAAATGTATACATGGCTCCTACAGAATGTGTTTAGCATATTGTTTTAAAGCGGTGGTGTTTGATATAATGACTGGTGAAGTGCAAATCTGCGCTAATGTGTTAATGTTGTGCTTCAGGTCAGGTTATTGTGCCAGGAGCTGAAGGTACGACTGAGAACTCGGACGGCAAGAGCATGCTCATCATGAGCGGAGGAGTGGGATACATCGACTTCAGGATCGGTAAGAGCTTCAGTAAGAATGATCCTTCAGAAATCATTCTAATATGCTGATTTGATGATCAAGAAACATTTATTATTATTATCAATGCTGAAAACAGCTGTGTTGCTTAATGTTATTGTTAAACACGTGGAATGTTTTCTCAGGATTATTTGATGAATAGATAGCTTAAAAGAACAGCATTTATTAGAAATAGAAATCTTTTGTAACATTATAAATGTCTTTACTGTCACTTTTGAACAATTTAATGCATCTTTGTAAGTAAGTAATAGTATTAATTTCTTTTTCTGAAAAAATATTTTGAAAACTTTTGAACAGTGGTGTATCATATTTTGAACTTGTCTGAATGTAAAAGAGGCTGTTAATGAAATATAGGGCAGTTAAATTGCATTGCATGTGAAACTAGATTTTTTTTTTTAATCATCTTTGGGATTGCATTTGATTCCAAAGTAGAGATTTACATGGGTCATGTACAGAGTTTAAGGGTGAAAAATGTGGTGGAAAATGATCAATAAAAAACTGGCACAAAAAACTTTACTAACATTTTAAGTGAACCTCATATAAATACTAGGGTTGTGACGGTGAGGAAATTTTCCCACCGGTTAATCGACGTGTGACAACACCGGTAATACCGGTATCACTGCAGGGTCGTTCCCTCTTTTCTTCGCTTTCCTTAGCTTTTAAAATAGCTTGTAAAAGCGGCGTGCACATTTGACTTTCACTTTCAAATAGCGGCAATTCGGAGTAAAGCAATTGTTAATTTTTAGTTTGTTTGAATTTTCCCTCTTTTCCTCGCTTTCCTTCGCTTTTAAATAGCTTAAAAGCGCCGTGCGCAGTTTACTTTCACTTTCGAATTAGCGGCAGTTAGGCGTCAATTGCTTGAATGCAACAACAAAATACAACGTCAAACTCACTTTAGCGTACATGTATAATATATAACCAAATAAATAAGAAACTTAGAAAGTTTATTAGCAAAACGAGTAAGAAAGCTTGGAGGCACGGCATACACCTTGATGTCAAATAAAATTAATAAATGACACAAAGTTTAAATAAAGTAAAAATCAGCAAACAATGTGGAACCAATTAAATAAGAAACGAATGTTTAAAAAAA